ACGGAAGGTTTTGCTTCCGGAGCAGCTTTCGACTGCTTCGTTTCCACAGTTTGCATGCCACGGTCTTGCACCTCTGATTGTTTACCTTTGCCTTTCTGTTGGCGGACTCCTCGTCCCGATCCTGAGTTCAAGTCCAGCGAAGACGAGAAATTCCGAAGGTCACGAAGCGTGCTAATGTGTTCGAATTCCTTCTGAATTTGACCAAGCTCATGTCCGGGATGGCCTTCATCATCGTAGTCTGGGTCCGTCATTGTGAACAGCGCTTGGGCCATCACAATCCGCGCTCTGGCCACAAGCTCATTCATTCTCTTCTCGAGAGCGCTATTTTTCCTGATTCCAGACCCTGAACTCCCCGCGCCGTGATGAGCCTGACTGACGTGGACGTGTCCAAGAGCAGGTTTTGGAGTGCGAGCTGTGGCAGGAATGGGTGTCGAAGACGCGTCATTATTGGAAGAGGGAGAAGAGTTGGAAGGCCCCGGGACGTTGCTAGGTCGTATCTGCCATTCGGGCCCATAAAGGAGCTTATTCAACATCCTTAGCATAGGCGCAGGAGGTTCGGGACGTGGATGTGAGATGTAATTTCCTGCCATATGCCCAGGATTTTGGGCACACGGGGGTCCCTGACGCGATGCAGGGCGTTCCCCCACTGGCAATGGACCAGGGTCACTGTAGCGGCGACTTATGGGTTGCCCGAAGCCCGTGATGAGGTAGGGGAGATAAAGTTGGGTCAACACCTCAAACAGGTGTTTATCAATGTCATCATGGGGTATATGATCTTTGGGAGTGGTTGTCGAAGGCATCTTTGACAGAACAATTCGCAGAGGCCCGACCCCCTGCTGAGCAACCCAAGGGCCAAGCTGGCCAAGGCTGGCGTGGGGATGGTTTCGGTTCCGAACTCCGAGTCTCTCGCTAAATAAAAATTCACTACGCCGACAATCTGATTTGAATATAATCTCCTTGGAGATTATTCATTGTCCACAAACATTTTCAATATCTACATGTACTCGGGACTGTCTTTCTGTCATGGATTGGTTATATATGGGGACTTTTCACTTCAAGCCCCAAATTGGCGAGTTCGTTCGGCGATTCTGGTGGGAGCTGAAATTTTGACGCACTGGTGCAGCCAATTTTTTCGTGAAGCTCCGAATCTTGTGCAACGCCAAGAATTATCCCTGTCTCAAGGACTGTTTAGCAGTTGGCTGAATCAACAACGGAATGACATCGAGGAAAAAAGACAGTCAAGATTCAAACTCCGCTCCGAGTGCTGCGACGGCGACCTCTCTCCAATGAAGTGTTTCACTCCCAGTATTCATAATGCCCAAAGCCACTAAATCACGACCTTCGCCCTCACGGTCCAAGACACTTTATAATTTCTTCAAAGCAGGTTCGTCGAGCAAGCTTGAGCCAGCAAAACCTCGACAAGGCGCGAATGTGAAGCCCGAATCACGGACGCCTACTCGAGCAAATGGAAGAACCTCGACCAACGCTGAAAGGACACCCTTGACGGACATCATTGTTATCGACGACTCAGATGACGAGGACGACTTGTATGTTGATGCTCATATCTCCCGACCGCCACCGACGGAGCGACGATCGAGTCAGGGTGGCCTTGTGGCAGGGAGATCGGCCTCAAACCATGTCAAAACGGAAGTTCAGGAGGTGGACATCAGAGGAAAAGAGGAGGAGCTGACATTTGGAACGCCCGTCTTTTTTATGGAGACTAGTTCGGCGACTTCGACGACAAAGGTCATCACGGACAACGAATCCTCCAGCTCTGCAATGGACACGAGCGAGGAGACTCCGAACACCTCAATTGAAGTCATAGACATCCCTTCATCACCCATGCCTACCATACCATCATCACCAGCTCACTGCGCCCCTGATCCAACGCCCACGAATATCTCTACCCCTCCTCCAACCCGTCCTCCTCCAAACCCCCTATATTATTCACGAGCAACTCCTAATCCTACACCAAGCAAATTTTCTGAATCTGAACAAGACCTATCATCGCTAGTCGATGAATGGAAGACCGGAGATGATGAAGTTTTCGACAACTTCGATGAGGCAGGCGAGGACTACGAGGAAGATGCAGAGTCGTCCTCCAAAGCGGAGTGTAAACAAGCTTGTCCCATCTGTGGAACGAGTACTGATGGTATGGCGAGCAAGGTACGTTTATGTCATTATTGTGAAACACTGTCGGTCATGCGAACCGTGATAGGACGTCGACGAACATGTCAACTCGTGTATTGATTCACTATCGGCTCACAAACGAGATCCATCTCCTTTTACATCCTCCAAAGCTTCAAGCTCCTCTTCCTCCAAACCCAAATCAACGGCGAACGCCTTCTCTGTCTTGATGTCTGGCCACGGCGAAAATGAAGCTTGGAAAGAAGCTGCCGAGGCGGAAGATCGTAATTTTCGGCCTACCAAGGGTCAGCCTCGTCGAAAAGCCCCCTTTTATAAGGTAAGCATTACTTTGAACTATGCTCATGAGCCGTACCTGAACTCGATGGCAGGTTATGCCCGGCATGCCGATCGCTGTGGATGCATTCAGATACGGGAAGATACCGGGTGTCACTTCATATTGGCTCTCGCATGCTCATTCCGATCACTATACAAATCTCAGCTCGAATTGGAAGAACGGACCGATCTATTGCTCGAGTGAGTCTACTAGTGGCATTCATTCAGAGTCAAACTGAAGTCATTGGATCGACAGTCACGACAGCAAATTTGATCATCCACATGCTCGATGTTGATCCGAAATGGGTTCACCCCTTACCGAACGATGTTAAGACGCTCATACCGGATTCAGGAGGAGTATCAGTAACCGTCATCGAAGGTAATCCCTCTTTCTTTGTCTTAGACCAATTTAACCAATTGTTCCTCTAGCGAATCACTGTCCCGGGTCATCTTTGTTCCTTTTCGAAGGACCTCAAACTACAAACGCAGGAGACAGCAATTATCGATCGCCCTTCGTAGGCTCGAAACGGAATTTCCGGTATCTCCATTGCGGAGATTTCAGAGCATGCCCTCAGCATGTTCTTCATCCTTCGATCAAAGGGAAGCACTTGGATCAGATATATCTTGACACTACGTATTTAAACCCCAAGGTCCGCATTTGACTTACCCCTGACCGAATCCCTCGAGACTGATTGTCCTATGCAGTATTGTTTCCCCCCTCAACCGCTTGTTATCGACGCGTGTGCGGAACTTGCAGTGAAGATCGTCAATGGCGAAAATGTAGAGGCGTGTCAAGTCGGTTTGGGAAGCGAGGGTGTCAAGCCACAGGGATCGATCACGGACTGGGCGAAAGTCGTGAAGGATGAAGGTACTGAAAATGTGAAAATGGAAGAGGGGAAAGAGCGGGTGTTGGTTGTTATCGGGTGAGTCTGCTTGAGTAGCCACGGATCGACATGACGCTGACGTACCCAATTAGCACATATTCGATCGGGAAGGAGCGCATTGTGAAAGGTGTGTGATGGCCAACTATCCATTTGCCATTTACTCACAAGAGGTATACAGCTGTTGCGAAGGCGCTGAATAGCAAAGTATACTGTGACGCTCGGAAAGCGAAGCTTCTGCGCTGTCAGAATGATCCCGAGTTACACGCACTTCTGACCAGCGATCCGTATGAAGCGACTATCCATGTCGTTCCTTTACAATGCATCAATTCGGACCGATTTGGCTCGTATCTGGAACAGTACGGACGGGTGTTCAAGAAAGCAGTCGGATTTCGCCCCACTGGATGGACGTACGTTCAAGCCATCTGACTGTCGTGAAATCGTCACTGAATCCCTGCTACAGATATTCACCTCCGGCAGGCACAGATATGATGCCGTCCATACCTTTTGTCATATCACGAGATCAAAAGCGAACCTTCACGTGGTCCTCGCTCAAGCCGATGCGCAATTCGACTCCTACAGCCATGCTCTACGGCATCCCGTACTCGGAGCATTCGTCGTTCTTTGAGCTAACGTGTTTCGCGTTAAGCTTGAGCTGGGGGAAGATGATCGCTACCGTCAATGTTGGGAGTGCGACTTCGAGAGGCAAGATGATGAAGTGGTTTGAGAGGTGGGAGAGCGAGAGGAAGAAGGTCGTCAGGGATGCTTCGTATATGAAACGTGGAGACGACAAAGAGAGTGTCATTGCTTATCGGCGCGTTGACTATTGGTGATATATTATTTGTAATCTATTGTACTGTATAATCCAGATGGTTGAGCATCATCCTTGTGTGGGCGAGCGCGGTCAGGCATTTCCCCACAGCAAGCACATCAATGTCACGACGTGTTATATATGCACAGAACCTCGGACTTGACAACGGCCTGATGGTCTAGTAGTATGATTCGCCGTTCGGGCTTGTGTTTCGGCGAGGTCCCGGGTTCAATTCCCGGTCAGGCCCTTGTTTTGCTTCCTATGTCACCCTCGATACTTGTCGTCCGCTAACCTAATACGTGTCTCGAAGCGAACGTCGCTCTGTTTTTGTTCCGCATGAGTCGGATTCTTTGTATCCCGTTTGTGCAAGCACGGCCTTGGGTATCGGCATCAATAGTCCACGACTTTTTGAGAGCGCAAAAGCGACGACCCTCCTCAATTTTACACCGCGGTTTCTGCCAGTGGAGGAATACCGAGATCTGACGCGTGCTGATGAGCTTTCTTGACCCGCAAAGTCAATCTTGAAGCGGCTCCGATCCACTCATGGATTGTGAGCTGCGGTGACTTTCTTTTCCATTGCCTCGAGGTGGACGACTCGAGCATCGACTCATCGAGACCGAGTAAATCGCCTCTTCGTAAGGGTCTGGGCCCAACTCACGTCGAAGCTACCAACAATGAATTTTCGAACTCTATAAAGCTGCGATTTTTACTGCTCAGAAATGTTTGCTAAGATTACCCCCGATCTCGAGCTTTGGGAAGGACATGTAGTTTGCTCGCTTGATCGCGCTCCTCGAATAAGGCAAAGATGCCTTTGCGTACAGATATGTACAGCAGGACGGCCTTTTATCGGCCTGATGGTCTAGTAGCATGATTCTCCGTTTGGGTTTTCCTGAGTTCGGAGAGGTCCCGGGTTCAACTCCCGGTCAGGCCCTTTTGACCTGTCATTGCGTGGGTGTTTTCAGTTGTTGCTCAACCTCAACATTCTCGAACAGCTCTGCATGTTGTTCTTTTGGATCGCAGAGATTGAAGGAGTGTCTTCATTTATTTTGCACCTTTCGCCAAGTTGCTGCCAGCCACGCCAGGAGGACAGCGCTACTGACGGAAAGTTCCGCTTTTCATGTAACTCTTTTTCCTTCCATCATCCGCCTGAGAGCTGGACGCTACTGACGCGTACTGACGCGTTGCGAGCTTTCGACGCGTTAGTAAAACTCACTGGCAAGTTCATTGGTGAACTCTGTCGACTCTGACTCACGCGAAGTAAAGGCCAGGTGTTATTCTCGGCTTCAGATCATCGCAAAATCCTAGGCTTCCTTTAGTTTCTCTGAGAGTGCGTAGACCTCCAACTTGCATTATTATCGACGCTTACAGGGTCGTACAGGAATGACATCGAAGGAAGTCGCGGATGCATCGAGGATGAGTATCAGCCAGCTCTCTGAGTTGCTTGTCGCGAGAATGTGGGAGGAGCAGTGAGCATCGATTCAAAATCTGAAACTCTGATCATATCCTCCTTCTTACTGGACCTTTCTCCAGCGTTGGAGCGGTCTCAGACGACCACCCTTCCCGGAGTGCTGAGGAAAGAGTACGAAAGGCCCTTCAACTCGACGAAGAACGCGTCTCCTGTCTTGAAAGCATTCGACATTGTGTAGCGGACATCGGGGCTCAAACGCGCCGATTCTCAAATCAGCAGTCACTGCTTCTGCGCATGCCTGAGGAAATAATCCTGAATATTTTTCAGACGTATCTACATGCCGAATATAGCAATTCTGGGTGGCAGATTGATGTGGGGCATACCCCAATCCCTTTTCACTCATTTCAACGACTGACCAAGCTTCTGACTATCACTCATATGTAAGCTCTACTGGAATGATCAATAATTCCCCGCTGACGCAATGCGTGAACTGCAGCTCCTCTGATCTGCGTCTTTTGTGCAAACATTCTGCAACCTTGTGGATGGACCTTGACCTATTCTGGCCACCTGCGCTGATCGAGACTTTTGTCGAACGTGCTCAAAGCGCCTCTTTGACATTAACCCTACCTGTCTCCTTGGGATGGGGGCCACGATTTGCTAGCATCTCTCGTAGGATGCTCGACTTTCTGCCGCACTTCTTGATTCAGAACCTGCATCGTCTTCGAGAGCTAAGGCTGAGATTGCCAAATTGGGAGGGTTCCAGAACCTTTGATTACCAGATGATCTGGGACGCGATTCAAAGCTCACCTGCCCCTGTCCTTGAGGTTTTTGAATTCACAACGTCAATCGCCGTCGGTCCGTTCCAACCGGATCAGCTTTTCCTTAACACCGCTCCATTACTGCGCGACATCGAGCTGGAAAGATGTTGGAACCAAACCCAAGACCTCGGAGCGTTTGCTTGTCTAGTGTCGCTTAGCCTTGATCTCAGTGATTCCGCGTTGATAATGGGTCAATTGAGGGAGCTTCCAGCGGCGCTTGCTCGTTGCCCCAATCTGGAGGACCTGCGTGTGCTCGGATCGAGTGGAACCACCGAACCTCTAGCTCCAGCTATTCGACCAATGGCTGAGCTCCGTTGCTGTGTTTCCCTCATCATGGGAGAACTCATGAACGACGCCATCATTTATCTGCTTTCAGCCGTTTCATTTCCTTTACTCCGACGTGTTTCTCTCCAAGGGACGGCACGTTCAAGATCCACATTCCCTCACGTTCATTCTGCGATCCCGAAATCGTTAAGATCGCAGTGCTCGGGCGTCTCCAAAGTGGAGTTTGATCTGCAAGACGGGAGAGTCGGTGCCGAAATGACGGCTCCAGACTCTTGTTCTGTATATGTAGCGGAGGAGCGAAACCGCTTCTCTGCGAGTACGATAAAGGAACTCCTGGCCGCGCCCTCGCGTATCCTTCAAATTCGACCACGATACCTCTCATTCTCGGGTGAGGATACGGAGAACCTGTCCGAGGAACTTTACAGCGAACAAACATGGATGGACATGCTGTCCTCCTACCCCTCTGCTCGGAGAATCTCAATCAGCGGAAATATCGCGCTAGCGTCATTCCTGGCGGTTCTCAACTCGCCAGAGATGTATTGTCCGGGGTTGAGAGTAATGAACGTTGCCATAACTGATAGAGTCAGAGACCAAGACTGGGATGCCATTGAGACACTGCTTCGTCTCCGCCCTAACCTTCGTGAAGTCATAGTAGATGAACGCGAAGTTAGCGAACAGAGCGACTCAGAATGACAATCGTCGGGTTGTCGCATATGAATTGCATTCAAGGCGTCGGCATAGGGACGGCCCTATGTGTGAGAATGTTTTTGGGAGGCAGCTCCCAGGTTACCGAACGATTTCCTCACTGGAAAGCAGTCTTTGGTGTTGAATTCGCGCGGTTTAGGAATTTCATCTGAACTAATCGCATCTATAATTTTCTGCAAAAGATGCTGAATTAATATTCGAGTCAATCAGTCCCATTTCGCCGACTGAGCTAGTAGACATGTTGTCTCGAGCACCAGCATGCTCCCCTCATTTTTCGATTGAATCTCAGAATAACTGGACCGTCATCGGTCCAATAGCGTGCAGTTCCTATGCATCATGATGAAATTGATTATTTCGCAAATTTTATCGGAGTTAGAACTCGGAATTCCGGCTCGTTGAAGTTGACGTTGTTGACCACGTTCATAATCTCTCGGACAACCGTCTCGAATATTTCGGACGATAAGCTGCTTGATAACCTGGTCTGGTCTTGCCGCACTTCATTGGACGCGGCTCACATTGACGGGCGGCGTAAGCTGCTCGGGTCATAATTGGATCGTGCGAGACGGACGCTGCCCCAACGTCTCCAAGGAGAACCAAGTAAGCGAGAGCGTATCTTTTCTGTGTATTATTGATGGCGACTGAAATACAGATCCAGGAAACACAACCAATCGTAGCATCTGATGTCCCTGGAGGAAATTCGGCCTCTGACTTGACCGTCAACGAGTTGACAGAGATGCCAACAAGCTCAAGCCAGAACAAGGATGAGAGGTCAGTAGTTTGTTCCATCATCATCGTTCGTATGATCCCGACGACGTCGACTATAGATTTTGTCTCACTGATCAATCCTGCCTTGCGAATGGTCCGACTTCGACTAACGTTGCTGCCATGGCTCTTCCAAACCAAACACGCATCCCTCTCGAATTCGAACCGGTCAAACGGTCTCCCAGCGAGCCCGCGCTGCATTCCCGCCAAGTCTCAAATAGCACCTCACCCCTGCTTTCGAATCCCAGAAGAGATTCTTCTCAATATCGCCGACGAGTATGTCATGCTACCGGGAGGCTGGATAGGAGAGGGTGATTCGATGCGCTGGGAAGACTCCACCCCCTTCTATATGTTACTAGTTGCAGTCCGAAAACGACTGATGCTAACCCACATGTGAGTTGACTCGAATCCTCGACGACTCTGCGCATTCGACTCATATTCCGCGTCAGCTGTTCCCTCTTGCGCACAACATTCCTTCGTTCCCCCTTACTATGGAACGACATAGACCTTTGGTGGCCATATTCTGTGATGGAGGCGTTTGCCTTTAGAGCAGCGAGTTCTTCGCTCAGCTTGCGTATGGACTCTCTGGTTCTACCTCCGCAAAGTGCTGTGGATGAGAGAATAAAGTGGTGGACGGAATTCTTGAGTTCTAATATGCACCGCGTACACCACCTGGAATTGAATTTTGATCTAAGGGAGCTGCGGGGAAACGAGCTGGCCATCCAGAATCTCTGGGGGTGTATTCGGCACCTACGTGCTCCGAAAATGGAGGTTTTCTACTTCTGGGCTTGGACCAAAGAGGAGGACGGATTTCCCGACTTCGATGGTCTCTTCTTTGGCCACGCTCCCTTGCTCAAAGAACTCACTCTTGGAGGCGGAAGATATGGACAGTTCAAGGCCGATGCGTTTCATTCGCTGGTCCACATTCACCTTCAGGTTTTAGGTCCTCAGTCTCTCATCTCGCTTACCCAAATCCCCTCCATTCTGGACAGGTCTTCCAGGCTCGAAACACTGAACTTGCAGGCGGTGGACCGCTCGTTCTTCGAGACAATCCCGCATGAGATTCGGTGGACGGTCGAACTCCCGAAGTGCTCGCAAGTCATGGTGACGGGATTTTATTCTGATCAAGTCAACTATCTTTTTTCCTCCATCTCGTTCCCTTGCCTCACTCGCGTTATAGTCGAGAGTGCCATTAGGTTGTCAATTCACGGAAATCCGCTCACTTTGTCTCGCTCGTCATCTCCGCATTTCATGTCACTTTTCTCTCAGCATCGCTTTCAAACTATCCGATTCCGTGATCGCGACATATACACCTCTCACACTGCCCCACACTTCTCTGCCGAGCTGATCGAGATATTCTCCGGATTACTAGAGGTGGAAGATGCGAGGCGCGCTGTCCTGCAAGTCGTCGCATCATCCCACAGTATGTTTGGATCGAGTCCTCAAGAACTCGTGTTAGAGGCCCGCGGTTCAAACGCAGAAGAGTTCTTCACCAAGGATATATGCCGAGCCTTACTTCTGGAGGCTTCATCATTCAAGGGAATCTCCCTTCAAGCGCGAGTGTTTCCTGAAACACTCCTCGAAAGCCTTGTGCTTCTTGGGCAAATTTTCTCTGAGGAAGAGACGTTCTGTTCGGGATTTCCTTGGGGATTACAGAATTTGGAGTTTCGAACGTTTTCTGATGATGACGTGACCACCTCGCATGTCATGTTGAAGCGTCGGGACGACTTGAGTTTTGAAGTTTTCAGGTTTCCCTGCGCAGAGTAATGAGCTTGGTAGTCTGTGCGTCACTGCGGTGAGATATTCCATCAAGCCACGAGATCAATTAAATGTCCCCTGAGTTTGTTTGTCGATTGTATCTTAGATTATGTCATCACTGGAAGTGAAGCCTGCTTAGTCATGAAATTTTTGACGACCTCTGCACTGGCAGGATGTGCAAGCCCATACTTTGAG